CTCGTGGGATGACGAGGATGAGATCACTTGTGAGATCTGCTTCGACGCCGTCGCGTCCGTCAAGGTAGGCCTGCCAGATCATCCACAGCCTTTGGCTGCCTCCACCCACCCCCATTGCCTGGGAGTGTCATGAACCAGTCCTGGGGCCACCTCTGGCCCATGTGCCCGACACCCAGCGCCTCGACCGCCCCCAAAACAGCACGCCGCCGGCCGCGGCCCGTGCATCCTCTGCGGCGCAGCACCCCCCTTGTAACCTCGGACCCACGAGCAACACGACGCGCCCCAACCTCGAGATGTGCGCAATCAAGCGATCACCCCTGGCTCCCGGGCCAGCCAGTTTGGAGGGCCCTGCCGCCACAAGGGACCCCGCCGCCATTTCCACCCTCAACCTTGACCTCTAAACACCGCACCCTCTTGCTCCGCCTCGCCCCAAACCGCCTCTGCAGATCCTCACCTGCGGCCACACCCAGTGCCTGTCCTGCAGCCATGAGCTGTGCCACCTCCACCACTTCCGCCCGGCGCTCTGCCCCTTCTGCAGGCGAGTGATCCAGGGCCTGCAGGTCAACCCAGCTCTGCTGCGGCGCGCCGGCGTGCTCGGCGGCTGACGGAGCGCTTTCTGGGGGCGGGCTTTTGGGGGCAGGGGAATGGCCTCTGCGGTGGGGTGGCGCCGCACACGCTGCAGCCAGCGTGGTTCGAAGAAGGGACGCGTCGCTGCTCGGCTATACCATGTTTGCCTTGAAGGCGGTGACTGCAATTTGGCAGGCATGCCTTGAATCAGGCATTGCCATGCGTCGGGACCGGGCGCGGTTGATGTTGTTGGAATACTCGGACTGCGTTGCCAATTTGCTTGCAAGCTTGAGACGGGCTGCCCGCGGCACCCTTGCCGCTGCGAAAGCCGATGCTTTGCGATACTGCACATTGCTCTCGTATGTTGGACCCTGCATGTTGTGCAAAGTCAGGGCTATCCACATCCCCCGCTTTTGTGTGATGCTGTTGCAACATCTTCCGCCCTTTGACCTGCTTGCGATGTGTCGACCAGGCTCTGTCAACTCAACACCCCCCTTCGACTATTTCTGCAGCTTGACTTACGTTCACGAGGCATTCCCCCCTGACGTTGACAGCTCTGGTTTGCTGTTTGAAACGTCGCCTTGTCGAGCGCCGCATGTGTGCGGCTGCTCTGTCTCAGGGCGTGCTGCAAAAATGCAATACTAATGTGGTGTACTCACGACCCGGCAGCATGTACCCAAAACTGGGTTGATCGCGGCTGATTGGATTAGCGAGTAGGCAGCATCACTTCAGCTGCTTCTGCATTGACACTGTCATGCACCCGGCTTTAAACAGGCACATGCTCGCGAATCAGAGGGGCTGTTACAGTTGTCATGGCAAATTAGCAGGGCCCAGTGGAATGGCAAGTTTGAGCAAGCAGCATGCAGCGGAAGCCTAACAGGCAGTGTAGTTCATCCAACTGGCCAAGGGGCGACAAACGAAGGCCGCATCCGGCGACGAGGGGCACACGTGCACACACATGCCTGCAGGATACCAGCCTTGGACGACACGGCAGATCAACTACAGGTGGTGCCAATTCGGGTTTGCGGTCAAGCAGCAGCTTTGCTGCAATCGGGGAAGGGAGGGGCGTCGTCGGGGACAAATCTGGTGTGTCACCCCTGGGACACCCCTTGCCGCAGCAAGGGCGAGGGATGTCAGGGGTCGCCTGGGGATGCCAGGGGAGACTGTACATGCCCTTTCGAAATCGCGAGTTGCGCAGGCCAGAATCAATCTCAAAACACATGCGTGGGCAAGCTGCAGGTGCTTGCTCTGGCGCCAGGAGGCGCCATGGGTCGCGGCGCGGGCGTGGCAACGCGCCGACAATCAAGTCAAGGTCGATACGGCCCCCTTGCACCACAGCAGATTCCACGTATCGACACGTTGCACCAAAACCTGTGCGTGTGTGCACCGGGGACAGGAGGCAAGATGCCCCTGCGCAGCCACCCTACTGCAGGCCTCCACCGCGCAAAAACTTTTTCCGAGATCGCACAAAATCGCATCAGATCTTGTGCAGATCAGATCAGATCACCCCAGATCACTCAACCTCGGACTCCCCACCCGCCGAGGTCGACGCGGCGATCAGCACGCGCTTGCGCCGGTCGTACACCTCCCGCCACTGCTGGTACTGCCGCGCCGCGCGCGCCGCGCGCGCCGCCAGCTGCGCGATCCGCTGCCGCTCGCGCCCGCCGCCGCCAGCGCCGCCGAACGGGTCCGCCCCGTCCCCCGCGTCCGACTCGCCCCCGTCGGTGCTGCTGGTCGCGCTGCCGGCGTTGCTGCGCGGCTGGGAGTAGAAGTTGGCGCCGGCGGCGCCGTTGCGGCCGAAACCGGCGAAGCCCATGCTCTGGGCGGACCACGAGAACTTGGCCCAGCCGGCGCGGGTCTCCTCCTCCTGGAGACGCGCCCTGACCGCGGCCTGGCGCTTCTCCCAGGCGATGGACGCCTCCTGTATGCGCGCGCGCGCGCGCGTGTGTGTGTGTGTGTGTGTGTGTGTGTGTGTGTGTGTGTGTGTGCAAGTTTGTGAGGGGAGATGTGCGTCGTTGCAGGCACGGTGCACGGGCCTTGAACTTGCACGTGCGCTGTCGCATGCAGTGGATCCATCGCACACACGATGTCGCGACGACCACACGCATCCTTCCTCGTCCCGCTGACAGGGCAGAGCGAACGGTTGCACACGGCATCACGGACGCGCCGACGAATCGCCATCCCCAAGGCACTCATTGCATTCAGCCTCACGTTGAAGACGTCCTTCCCGCTGCCGTTGCCGGCCATGAGGGCCCAAACCGCGATGCGCTCCATCTTCTCCATTGCCGCTTCCAGCAGCGACAGCTGCGGCGCGGTGACCCAGTGGATGCACTGCGGATGACAAACATAACGTGGGCGCGAGGCGGGGTGTTTGTGTAGAAGTGGAAGGTGTTGAGTTTGCTTGTTGACGGGTTGTGGGGCGGTGGGGAGGCTGTCCAAGGGGGTTGGGGGGCGCGGCTGCGGAGCGCTGTGTGAGGTGCGGGCCAGGCGGGGCTGCGTTGACGTGGGAGCGCGGCGGACACCTGCCTTACTATGGACCTGGCCTGCCACGCGCACACAACAACTGGCACCGAGCAGCTTCTTCCCCAGCTTCGCGGCAGATCCAAGGTGTAGCTACCCGTCCCCCGCATATGGCGAGCGGTGTGGAAGGTCCCCCACAAGTTTTTGGCACCCATACGCCATATAATTCGTGCAAAGCGCAGGGGATGCGCCCCTCACGTTGACGGGGCAGGTGTCAATCGCCTCCTGCAGCTTGGGCTCCGTGTCGGCCCCCTGGCGCATCACGCGCGCGCGGCCCCAGTCATCCTCTATCGCGAAGGAGCTGGGGCACACGTTGGTGCAGTTGCGGCAGCCTGGGGGGGGGGTGCGGAGGGGGTGGAGGTAAGGTTAGGG